TCAAAGGCACGAAACGTACACAGGAGCGTGCCCACTCGCTCACGTCTATATTCATACCAGGTCAGCAAAACCGTTCTGCTATAAGCTTGATGGTTGCACGGACGCCTGGATGAGAAAGTTTAAGCGATGTATTGAAGTCATTGCGTCGATAATGTTTCGGCACGATTGGGCGATCCCTACCTGTAGATGTGTCACAAAGTAAGGTTTCCTTACCTGTTCCTATCTGTTTGATGCATAGTTTGAGGGTTGTAGACGATAACTCGTGCTGAAGATCAGTGTCTTCTTTTTGAAGCTCGGCGAGTTTCAGGAGGTCGATTCCTTGGAAACTGTTCAAAGAAGTTATTTGAGACAAGGCGTCTGCGACTGCATTGCTTGCTCCAGAAATATGTTGAATATCTGAAGTAAACTGCGAAATGTAGTCCAGTTGTCGAGACTCAAGGGGAGAGTACTTCTCTCAAAGAGAGTTTAGGGAGAAAGTGAGCGGTTTATGGTCCGTGAAAAGAGTGAATTCACGGCCTTCGATATAGTGTTGGAAATGCCGTACAACACAATACATAGCTAGGAGTTCCCGACCAAATGTGCTGTACCTCGATTCGGTGTCTAGCAACCGTCTAAAGAAAAATGCTAAAGGTTGCCAGGAGTTGTTAACCCATTGTTGTAAGACTCCTCTGTTTGCTGAGTCGGATGCGTCTACGGTGATACTAATGGGTGTTTCAGTGTCTGATGAGCAAGCATTGTTGCTTGAGCAATAAGTTTCTTTACTGTGGACAATGCTTTTCGTGCGGTGTCTTCCAGATTGATGGATTTCGCATTTCCACGAAGTTGGTCGGTAAGAAGTTTCATGAGTAATGTGCATTTAGGTGTGAATCGTCTATACAAATTTACGAGGCTGTTAAACGTTTGGAATTGCTTGATCATGGTGGGTTCTGGGTAATCCAGAATTGCCGTCACTTTAGTTCTAAGGGGTCGGATGCCTTGTGCATCTGTAGTGTGTCCTAGGAAGTTTAATGAGTCAGTTTCGACTTGTCACTTCTGGATGTTTACAGTAATCCCATGTTTTTGTAGTCGGTCCAAAACAAGATCCAAATGCTTGAGATGTGTTTCTCTCTCCGGACTTGCGATTAGGCAGTCGTCAACATACGCATATACGAAGTTGAGACCTCGGAAAACGTCGTCTATAAACCTTTGGAATGTTTGAGCAGCGTTTCTTAAACCGAAAGGCATTCGCAAGAATTCGTAAAGTCCGAAAGGAGTTATGATAGCTGTTTTCGGAATGTCATCAGTGGCCATGGGAATTTGGTTATACGCTTTAACCGAGTCGATTTTTGAAAAGACAGTTGTACCTTTCAAGGTAGCTGTCAAATCGTGAATGTGAGGCACCGTGTAACGATCGAGAATGGTTTTCGAATTCATTCACCGATAGTGACCAGTTGGACACCAATCGTTGCTATCCTCTTTAGGGACCATGTGCGACAGACATGCCCATGGGCTGTTTGACGGTCGTATGATTCCTAAGTCTATCATGTGGTCGAACTCGTTTTTCGCCAATCTTATCTTTTCAAGGGCTAGTCGTCGTGCTTGAGAGAATACAGGTAATCCTGTAGTTGTGATGTGATGTGTAACGTTGCTGGTTACACACGGTAGTTTCGGTTGAGTTTGTTGTATCCCCGGGTACTTATCGAGTAGTGGTTGATAAAAAGGGTCTATCGTATGTCTAATTGTGACTGGGGATAATCTGCAACCAGAAAAAGAAGTTATGTAAAAGGATAAATTAGTGTTTCCGTCTACTAACCTCCGTTTACGCGTATCGATGATTAGATTATGGTGTTGTAGAAGGTCCATACCAATGATTGGCATAGAAACATCTGCAACAACGAAGATCCAGTGAATTGGACTGCGTAAGCCCACGTTAAGGTAAACGTACCTTTGGCCATACGTTGCGATAGGTTTTCCGTTTGCCGCCTGTAAGTTTAGGGTCGCTTCGTGTAGTCGGTCGTTAGGATTTGCTGGGAGAACGCTAACTTCTGCGCCAGTGTCGACGAGGTAGCGAACTCTCGTTGTCACATCTGTGACGAATAACAGACGGCTTTGTTATGTTCGCCGGCTACGGTTGCCGTTAACGCGTGCCGGCTTGGAAGTTTCCCGAATTGCTTTTCGAATCAGTCGGTTTCGTGTTGGGAAAATGGCAGGGTTTTCTGCAATTTCTGGAGAACTTTCCATACTGGTTATGATACCAGCACCAGTCGGGGTTATCTGTCTCTCGTGGTCTAGAGACAGATCGCTTACGAGAAATGCTTCTACGTGGGGTGTGTGATCGCTTACGGTCGTTACGAAAATTAAGTTAACGCATAAGTGTATGACATAACTCTGTTATATCATTCTGGGACGTTTGAGGCTTTTCTTTGACTGAAAAAACCTCGGTAGTAGAAGATTTTATGATTTGATAGGCTATCAATATATCGAGGATCGTCTGATCTAATCTGGCTAGCGATTGCACGGCTTGTTGAGCACGGTGTTCCCACTCGTGACCTGAAGCGGATGCCTGACCAAGCGCCTTCAGCTAGGTGAGTACATTAAAATATATGGTCAGCATTCGATGTCGAAAACTTACAGAGCTATTTATTTTGGGGATTTATTTACCGCTACACAGCTATGAATTACGTTGTTGGTCAAACTCCGAATACCTATCGCATCTTCACAGTTAAGAAATTTCAGTATAATTACGTCTATCTCAGCATATCTTGAATGACCGCTTGCTTGCTTTGTTTTGTTTGATATGCCTGAAATGCTAGATGACCCAGTTACTGGTCACAGAACTTATTGCTGCATGATGAACAACCACTTTGTGCCACATGTTCCTGAACACCACTATACAGAATGATTCCAAAATTTGGAGTGAGTTACAAGATACCATTCCTTATCGTGGGATCGCACAAAAATGTGAATATAATATAGGATTGCAGTATCACAAAACACCTACCTCTCGGTACCAGAAAATAGAGGATGCTAATGGGGAATGTTATTGAAGCATTCATCATGTACTTTCTAAGTGATTTAAGTATTACACCTATCGCCACAGAAAAGAATGTAGGCGTAATTTTACGCGATACTCGATATATCACTTTATTCCAAGAAGAATCCAACGTATGTAATTGGCTGTTAATCATTATTGTGAATATCATAATTTTAGCTAGATTTTGAATAAGTTCGTTTTTACTCAGACCTTTTTCTTGTTTGTTTATTACTTATACCCTGAACATTTTCAGTCTCACAAAGTTCTTATTTGGCATTAAGAAAATTTTGCCCAAGAAACCTAAAATTTGAAAACTTCTTTTGAAATTTATTATGATTATTGTTGAACGAAACATCTGGATTGACAGCTCGTAATTTACTAACAAATGTCTGATATCATAGTCGAAATTTGGCTTTCTTGCTACTTGAGTCATATGTTGAGAGTATTTCAATCAATCGTGCTTCGAGAATTAACCGGAAAAGATCTTAAACGTGATGCTCCTTCTTTGACAATAAATAATACAGTGTTTTGAGTTTTTCCTGAATTTTGTATACCCTGAACTCGTAAGCATGTTGAAACGTTTAATGTTCGCTTGTGTTCCTTTTACCTATCTACGTTTTGAATGGTATCGCTTTCTTCTACAAATCCATAGCACTGTAACATCAGTGAACTCCAATTAAAAGGCAAAACCTAGGTATCAAATCTTATACTGTTCAGGATAGAAGGAACAACCGCGTGACGGCGGTTATAAGAATCGAAATACGGGCTGCGTAGTGAGAATTTATTTACAATATTCGTTTGTACGTCCCATGTTTATCCTTCCAATAACGAGGGAATCAGCATAGTCATCAGATGAACCAAGAGTGGTAAATGAGTACGACCCGACAAAGTAACGGCCGAAGCACTGAGTCACACATAGAAGTGATTGCAAACATGTTCAGAAAGATTTAGGAATGAAAAGTGCCACTAATAGACTGGAAATAAGGATATCTCACCAAGATACCAAAGAAAAGACATTTGAGCGGATGTGAGAACTACAGAGGCACCATACGTTCAGCGGTCAATTAGGTTTGCCTCTTCTAGCTTCACATGAAGCACAGAGCAGTATCATGTAGACGAATGTGTAGGGTCGCCTGAAGATTCATCAGTCCGTGTTGGTCTTCATTTATCAATAACTATTTAGTCCCTTATGATCAGTCCTCTGAGTTTGGGATGTCTGAGAAAATGAACTTTCCGTCACCGGTTTACCTCTATTTCACTAACCAGATAGGAATTCTATCCTCGATAATTTAGTATGTCTTCTAACTAACCTCTGTTTGCTTGAGTCAAATAGTAGGTTATGGTGTTTTACGCTAATGATTTCCATTGGGTTTGCGTAAACCCACGTTAAGACAGACATACTTTTAACCTTAATAAGCGACCGGCTTCCCGATTGCCAAACGCAGTCATACCAGGAGATTGTTGATGTATCAAGAAGTATATAGGCTAAGGTGACTATTTGCTTTGGGAGATTCGCAGCACAGCGAATCTAGATGTCACCTAGTGCTGACCCTTGACTGAGAGCATTCAGTGAACGTTCAATGAGACCAACGGTTTAAACATCAATGTCGAAGACATTCTTGATGGACTGAAGATTTCACACCTTATGACAAACGTCGGGTCAGGTATGTCTGGACCACTAATACAAAACAGATAATGTCAAGTGATCCCTCAATATAATTATCGTCTCGACAGCTCAGTACATGAAAATCATTGCTGTTACAGTGGAGTCCTGATACACACAGTAAATTGCTGAAAGTGTAAACACTGGGGAGTAGTTTCAAATATACATCGTAATCCAACATTAACTGAGCATTAGCCTCCAATAATTCCAAAAGATTTGATAATTAGAGTAGTGAAAGCCTATTGTAGTTTATTGTAATGACATATTGGAGTAAAAAATACCGCAGATTATTCAGTTACAGAGTGTTGAACAGAAAGACTATTTAGTGAAGATATATGTTTATTGAAAAATATTTATTAGTAAATAGATATAATGGTAAGGCGAAATTTACATGGTCAGAAATGAACGTAAAATTCATATACAAAAAACAAATACTAGGTACAGTGTGTTAAACAGACAAACTGCCTTCTCGAAAGCTACTTGCGGAGATAAGACAATTTACAACAGATGGTATCCCTTTATTTGAAAGTCGTTTAGCCTCATCAAATATATGAACTATTTGTTCCAACTGAGGTTTGTCAACTAAGAAACCATTAACCAGATTGCTATTATTAGTTATGAAATTATCTGATACAGGAGCAACACTTCTACAGTAAGCTGATCCAATTACTTCATATGGTGTGTAGTTTAACTGGCATCCAACTTTGGATCGGAAAAACGTAACTTGGTCACGTGCAATCTGTGACCAACAAGCGTCATTACCAATAACAGCAATTGCAGGAGCATGATGACGTGCTAAAGAATCCCATTCAACTAAACTATATCCTGCTGAACCATCACCATAAATAACCCAGACAGTAGCCTATATGGGAAAAAAGTAAATAAAAATTGAGTTTTTGACAATGAACAACTATTAAAAACCGAATTACAAACTGTTGAGTTATTATTAGAACATGGAAAAATTAAGATGGGCATAATTATAAAGTGATTGGTGAGTTCTTAGGTTATGAAACAAGGATATAATAAATCATATTTCAGCTTGTTTTGTAGCATTTTCTAATTTTTGCTGTGGTAGATTTCGTTGTAGAAGATTTGCTTGAAAAGATCTATGGGATGGGGAGGTGGGAGAGAGTCTTCACTCAACTCATTCGTTAGTGTCGCTTATCTGTGCACATGAAAATTCATTGATGCTCTAAAAAAAGAACAGTCATAATGAACCAAAAATAAAGTGATGTTTCAAGAATTCAGAAGCAATATGGGAAAAGGAAAATACAGAAAGGTAGAAATGCGCACCAAACTAGTTGTACACAGTGGAAACATATATATACTAGACTATTAACGCGGAATACCACATAGTTTAAACTCGTACACTAAGCTACATCAAACTATTATAAAATTAGATTTACATCTATACGACGTCATCACAGAACATTTTTGAAGCTTGTTCTTGAGTTGTTATATTTTTTCAGTTAATGTATTAGGAGTTAATTTTATTATATTATTGAAGAGCCATTTTAATGCCACTTCTTATTAGACTCGCCTATATTAATGCCTGTTTTTATAAATATGGACTCAATGACAAGGTCATTTTTGACTCCGCTTCTATTGAAGGATACTACGGTAACAGACACCATTAGTTGTAGACATTCCATCAAGAATCGTTGCTATATCCTTGCACGGTGAATCAGTTAGTCATAATTAACACAATTTCCCTTCTGGTAGATAATCAGCATAAACATCTCACTTTTATACATCAGTTTACGTTAAAGCGGAATTTCGCTTCCAATCATTATCGTCTTTTTCTTTGTTTGTTTTCGGGATATAGTTATCGAGGCATATGATTACCGGAATTTTCCGATTCTGTCGTATATAAAATATTTTCAAATGTTTATAATCATAATGACCAACTTCTTACAAGCAACTTAACTCAAGTAGTTGACAGTTAAAAGTCAGAAATTTCAAGTCGTCATACTGTACAACTGAAATACTTAACAGAAAAACGAAGAAAAGAAGAATAAAGAAACCAACATCATCAACAAGAAGAAATAGATTTATCGTTGAAAGTTGTATGGAATATCTGCGATTTCTATTGGAACTTCTAGAAATAATTCTTCAAGAGGAAGTATAAATATTCATTTTAAAGATGATCATTTTAGTTGGTTAATTAAAATCTCTACAATATGCTGAACTTACCCGTAAGAATAAAACCAATAAAAAAAGAATTTTATTCTAAAGCTGAAAGAAATAATCTTATAACTCAGTAAAACTCTAAAAATGTGTTTGGAATATAGGAGAAATGCAGCTGTCATATGTTTAAACCCAAATTACCTAATTTGTTTCATTTATATATAATCCCTAATAAATAATTTGTAGAAACTTACATTTGGGCGGCATAGTTTAGCACCTAATGCGAATCCTCCACCAACACCTAACGTTCCAAATGGTCCTGGATCTAACCAAGATAACGGTTTTCTTGGACGTACAATATATGCTGCCGATCCTACAAAATCTCCACCATCAGCAATAATAATACTATCTTCGGAAGAATCAGTTGGTAGACCATAATGTTCCAACTTCCAGAGAACGGAAAGTGGATTGTTATGCTCAATACCTTCTACTTGACAGCTTAGTCTGAAAGGAAAACATAAAAGATATGATGAATACTGAGATTACCATTGATTATCTTGAAGCTTAGAACAAACAAACAGAATGTTAAAACCATTCAAACCAACAATACAACTGAAGTTTTTTTCTAAATGACGGGATTTTTGACTAGAATATACGAATTTTCGAGATTTTTTCGAATGTATTAAACCTGATGGACATGAAAATATGATCAGCTAACTTGATTAATGAAATTCAACAATTGGATTTTTTCATGAACCGATTAAGAATATGAACTTATGGAAGTACGAAAGCCAAAAAAGTTATGGTCCATTATTTAGACGTCGATAAGATCGGACGACGTTATCGACAGGCTCACCACATTAGTGGCCCGATATCTGACTCCAATTAGATCATATGTTGATCGCTATCGAAACATATACAACGCCTATCCTCGCATATAATTATCGACTTAACTCACGTTAGTGAATAGCGGAATTAAAATATATCAGATACGAGAACGGATTTCGAATACGTATATATATTGTACAATCATTGATCCAGGCAGACGATCAAAGGGACGAAGCGAAACGAAATGATGCGCAGTGGAGAAGGCATGTGAACCAACTCCCATCAACCAAGCGTTAATCGATT